AAAGGTGTTTCCAGAACCTTCTTGATGCTTCCTAGAGTCAACCCCTAACACAAACCTTATGGCGTCATACCCCTCCCCAGCTCACTGAAGCAAATGGAGGAATCCATGGCTGCTTCAGAAAACAGATGATCCCCAAGGAAACATTGAGAGCTCTCGGGTTGTACCTGGCCTCATGGAATTCCCTCGTGGAATTCCAGCCCCCGCAGTCCCATGGGGATGTGAGCTGAAGCAATATAACCTTCCCTGATCCTTTTGTCAAGGCGAGCAGCCTCCTACCGCAGAGGCGCCCTCCCAGGTGGGTACAGTGCTGCACATGCTTCTGTCCATGTTCCGTTTCCAGCTGCTTGGGAGCTAGCTAACATTCCTTGGATCTTATTTTTGTGGCTCCCACAGTGCATAGGGACACATAAGCGAATCAAGTCCCAGCATCAGCCTGAGAACCTGAAGGTAAATGTGTGACCCAGGGTTTTGCCACCTCGGCACTGCTGGCATTTTGGGCCAGATAATTTTTCACTGCGGGAGACTGCCCTGCACCCAGTGGGATGCTTAGCATCTGGGCCTCGATCCTCTAGATACTCCTTTTGCCAAATACCCACTGGGTGCAAAATTGTGCCAGGTTGAGAACCACTGGTGTAAATTTAACTAAGGTAACTGCTATGCTACTCTCAGATCAGAAAAAGATTAAGCTACTGCCCCCAGCATGGGGCTGGTATGCTCCAGCCAGTTTCTGCTGTCTCAGAGGTGTACTTTATTTGAAAGTGCACTCCTGCATCTTAATCAGGGGATGTCTGCTAAGTGTGTGTCTAGACCCAGCACCATACCGGGCACTGTGGAGGAGCCAGAAGCAACCTCAGATGTGGTCCCTGTTTCTCTGAAGCTCACAGTCATTGTAGGGGACAGAGTGGTAACACCTGAAGCAAAAGCAGTGCTACAGAGCAATGGGTAAAGCTGTGTCACTCATCCAGTGATGACCTACACTGAGGAACCACATGGCAGGCAGGGGAGGGACACAGAGGTGAAGCCCAGTCCGGCAGAGGAGAGACAGGCAAAGCAGAGAGTGCAGGTGTCAGGAGACAGCAGATGACGCGCTGCAGGCATTCAGAGGTCGGGGAGTGGCAGTTGCTCCCGCCCAGGGATGGCCTGGTGGAGCCATGACTGAGCCGACCCAGGTGTGGAAGGAGAGGTAGGCGCCAGCATTCGGCAGGGGGACAGGCAGGGCCAAGGCCCGAAGGCTGGACACTTGGCCTGTGTGCAGCAACACCAGGAACACTTTTCAGCTTTGCACACAGAGCCAGTGTGTGCCGCAGGGGCCCTGAGATGATCCCGCCGGACCCAGGGAGTTCGGAAAGGCTGGGTAAGGTGCAGGGTAGAGGGGCAGAGGTGACGGCTCTGTCAGAGCCCATGACCTCACCCGGCTGAAGCCCTAGCTGATGAGGGACCCTTTGCCTGCTCCTGGGCCTGGTGGACCACACACCTGGTGGGTCACACCTGCAGCCTCCCTGCTGTGGAAGCTGCTGCCTGGAGCCAGTGCCTGTGCCCACCAGCACCCGGCCTCAGTCCCCTCGAAGCCCCAGGCCAGGCCTTCACTCCCCTCCCAGGCATCTTTACACACTAGAGCTTGAGAAGGCTGTCCCCACACACCACTGCCCCTGCCAAGCGCTCCCCCTCCGCCTGGAGGAGGTCACTCCAGCAGGTCAGATAGCCTGTGTGATGCCTCTGAACCAGCCTGTGCAGATAGGATGCACAGGGGTAGGATGTACTAATTTAGCCAGCCACTAAACCAAGGGGTGAGGTTCGGTAGCTCTACCTCCCCATCCTCCCTGTTCGCCACCCTGTCTTCGGTAGGAACTGGGGCAGTGGCTTCTCCTGAGAAGCGGCGTGACACTGCCAGCTATCCAGGAGTATCCTGTGGACGTGACTCACGGCCCACAGGGGCGATGGGGAGAAGGAAGGTGGAGAGATGCCAGCATGCGGCTCTCCTAGCTGCCAGCAGCCTGGGTGCTCCTGTCAGTTAGGGACACTCCATCACCTCTTCCTCCCATGTCCCGGAGGTCTCTGGGAGCGACTGGCATCAGTGCCTTCAGGTCCTGTGCAGCGGGAGGGAGCCGGCCTCAGCACCGTAGCTGGGGATGGTGGAGGGAAGTTTGGAGCAGGCAGGAAGGGCACGCATGTCAGAGAGGAGCCGCAGGGCCCCGCAGCGTATGGCAGGGGAGAGCCCCTGAGTCGAGGAGGCTCAGAAACAAGGATGCCTCACCCTGGGTAGGGTGAGGGTGAATGTGTAGCCATGCTCTGTCTGATGGACTGGGCAGCCCCCTGGGGGACCACACTCTGGCATGGGCTGGCTGCGCCTCCCACTGGCTGACAAGGACCGCACCCCTCATGCTGTGGGACCTGGAGCTCTGGGAGGGCAGGAGGAAGGTCAGATCACTGGAAAGTACATTTCCCCTCTCACTGGGTCCTTGTTGACCCTAAAGTTTGCGTCCTACACGAGGGGACCAAAGAAGGCTGAAATCCGGCCCATGCAACTCTTCCTGAGCCACGTTTTTCTAATTTGCACCAAAGTACTAGCAGCCATCCAGCTAGAGCCAGCATGTGGTGGAGCCTGAACCCAACCCAAGTTCACTGACTTTCCCCCAGCCTTCCTCAGTGTTTGGGTCCTACTTCTCAGAGGCTTGTCAAGCAGGAGGACCATTCACAGACCCTCTCTTCAGCCTCCTGCCGCAGCTTACCCTGCATCCCACTCGGTACATGTAGACCCAGGCTTGGGCCTGAGGCCCTCTTCATCCACACTCCTCCCCAGGGAGTGGAAAGTCCGTAGGGTGGAGGGAATGTGTCCTTGTGGAATCTGCAACTCCCTCCCACCACTTCCTGACCTCCTCCTAGGGACCCAGGAGTGTGAATCCTCTGTCCAGACAACCTGCACGCAGCACCTGCAAGCGTGTCCTGAGGCTGACTAGCATGTGTGCCTCTAGCCTGCACCACACCCAGCCCTCTCCACACCCCCTGCCAAGGGGCATCTGACCCTGGGGGAAGGGCAGGCAGAGCTGGAGGTTGTTCCTGGTGCAGCGAAGAGCCTGGGGCAGGAAAGGAAGGGGCAGGGACCTTGCATTTGTGCTCTTGGCCTCAGGCCCCACAAATGATGGGGCTAGGCCTGACACTGTTATTCTGAAACTGGAAACTCTCGTGTGTCCCTGATACTGGGAGACTATAGGACACAGTAAAATTGCAATGAGGAGGTGGGTAACACACTTCATGTGAAAGGAAGCCCTGCTCTTGGACCACAGTTCTTTCCCTGTGAAAAGAAATGGCCCCTCTCCTACATTCCTTAATCCCTGCCCATGCCAGGCTCCCTGCTGAGTGGTGGAGGAGATGGTTGGGCGAGTCCCATGGGCCCATG